TACATTGTATTTTGAGTGTCAGTATATCCTTGAATTGAGTTAAAAAATGTGTTTGTGTGTCTTATGCTGAATTCTGTTTACAGTCTAGTCAATGTATCTTTCAGCATCAAACAAATTACAAGAAAATTTATTTGTTGTGAAAGAAAAATAAAATTGACTCTGATCCTGAAAAATAGGAAATTTTGCACAGAAAGATGTATAGTTGGCATATATTTCTTGTACATGTAAGGTATGGTAAAGATTTGAAGAATATTGAAATAAATTCTGTAAATTTCTAAACCTAGTCAACAATTCTTTGCAGCTAGAAAAGAAAATGAGCTTTAAACCTTTTCAGTCTAGTTTCCAAGAGCATTTACAAAGAGTTTTATTATACTTCTGTTAGAATGTTTCCTATATAAAGTTAAGAAGGTAAAATAGCTATCTTTTATAGTTCATGCATAGTAAAGCTTAGCCTGGTTCCCTGTCCCTGTTTTGCTTCGTATACTCCGCATCACTAGGTGCCTTGGTAAGGATGAGCCAGGGGACCAGGCTAAGTAAAGCTATACCCATTTTTGCTATCCACCCTCGGAAAATTTTCATGCAATTTTTGCCTCCAATTTCAATTTCCAGCGATAAATCTGATGATGTCATAATGACTTCAGTAGCATTGTGACGTCATCAGGATTTCAGATTATTCTTGCAGTATTATCTTACTCCAAAAAATTCAAACCTCAGAAATTATATTATACATCAGTATTATAAAACGCTTATCCACTGGTTGTGAGTGGGATAGCTCTTTTATCAAACCCTTGACAGGGACTATCCTCGGGGAATAGTTCCCTGTCGCGGGTTTGATAAAAGAGCTATCCCACTCACAACCAGTGGATACTGTAAGTGTATACTTTTAACGATATCTAAAAGCACCTTCTCGGGTCTCCCCAGCAATCATTGAATAACACATCAAATGTATTAACATCATCAATATTTGTAGATTTTGTGAGTCACCCTTATCTAGATATATTATTTAAACATCCCCATGAACAAATATTTTATCAACATATTACTGTAATGAATTCACTGGACACCGAAATTACTTCAAGTTTAGTATGCGGTATTGTAGTACCTGCGGATTTTCACTCTAAACAGACTGAGTAAATAAGAATAGTCGATAAATTATGAATATTTTATTTACATATTTATTGATAACATCTATATAATATACATATTCATTAAGTTTTTAATAACAATAAATATGGGTAAACAGGTCAGCCATGAATAAATATTTAACACAGATACTCTACAAATTATATGCATGGTCAGCAGGTAAACAGGTCAAGAGGTAAACATGTCTACACGTCATTGGGTAGACCTGAATATTAACTTAGATACTCAAAAAAGTTGAACTCATGGGGTTTCAAAGTTACAAAACTGAACTAGAAACTGCATTACAACAGAGATTCAACAAGTTCAGCTTGTGGATGATGTTGAATCATTTATAACATTTTTAATAAGACTTCAGAAACGCTACTCATGTCTTCAAAGGCAGCTAGCAGCATAGCTTTCCAAGATAATAGTAATAGAAAAAAAAATTTAAAAAGATGAAAGGGGCTCTACTTGGAAAAAAAATTACGATGTGTTAAATGAATTTTCATACAGATATCGCTATGGACATTCAAATTGTGATGCTTATCAAAAATTGATAAATGATGTTGGATATTATGAATGAAAATAAATTGAACTAAAAGGCTAACCTGCTGCCCTGTCTACCTGTTTACCTGTCGACCAGCTGATCAGTCTACTAATCTCACTTTAATTCGCCAACCTGTTGACCTATCGACCTGCTTACCTGTCGACCTACTGACCTATCGACCTGCTTACATGTCGACCTACTGACCTGTCTACCTGCTTACCTGTCGACTTACTGACCTGTCGTAGTGCTTACCCGTCGACCTGCTGATCAATCTACATATCTCACTTTACTTCTTTGACCTATACACAAAATTAATTATCTTACCTGCTTTGCATCTTATTAAAAAGCGTAAACTCACCGGTCTCAACTCATGTTTTACAGTATAATTATCAAATTCATTCCTTAAGTATCTGGTACATTTATGCAAATTACGATAATATACAATGAAGTAATTTTACAAATGTAAATTCATTTAAACCTATGTCACATTTGCAAAATAAATGTGCAATGTCAGGAACTACTTAAACGTATAGTATACTAATGACCCAAAATTTTACAATTACTGTAATTAAAACAAGAGGCACAGCTAGGGGCCACATCGCTCAACTGAGCAACTGGCTAGGTAAAAGCAAAACTCGGTTCAGTATTAACGCTTTCACTTTCAGGCATTTAAATATAAACTAGAAAAGTGGGTTCAAGGGAAGGAAAGAAGGGTATTTGGACAAACTTAAATTTATACTTCTTAAGGTTTTAACGATTTTTCCTATGTATTCCTATCTTAAATATTTGATACTCTACTGTGGCCCCACCCTAATCCCGGGGGTCATGGTTTGAACAAACTTTAAACTACACTACCTGAAGATGCTTCCACATGGGTTTCATCTTTCCTGGCCCAGTGGTTTTTGAGAAGAAGATTTTTAAATACTTTCCTATGTATTTATTTCCTGTGTTAAAATTTGATACCCTACTGTGGCCCAACCCTACCTCCGGGGGTCATGGTTTGAACAAACTTGAAAGTACACTACCTGAGGATGATTTTTATCTTTCCTGGCCCATTGGTTTGGAAGAAAAAATTTTTTAAAGATGTCCTGTGTATTCCTATGTTAAACTTTGATATCCCACTATGGCCTCACTTTTCCCCCGGGGTCATGATTTGAACAAAGTTGAATCTATGTTAATTCAGGATGCTTTCATATAACTATGACCAATCATGGCTTTGCTGTTCTTAAGAAGAAAAATAAAAAAAAATTCCCATGAATTCCTGTGTTAAACTTTGATACCACAATGAGGCTCCACCCTACCTCAGGTGGTCATGGTGTGAACAAACTTTTATCTGCACTACAAGAGGATGTTTCTTTTCATTATGACTGATCATGGCTCTGCTGTTCTTGAGAAGAGGATTTTTAAAGACTACTGTATAGCAGGTTAAAATCGCGGTCGGAAAAGATCGCGATTTGTTTAATTTTCAGCAAATCGCGGTCGTTTGAATTCGCGGAAAGGAAAAAACCATACATTTTTTAAACAGTACTTGCACGCATTTTTCTTTAGGTATATATTGTGTGAACCTTTATTTTCAGTCTCTATCTTACGAAAGTCTGGTCATGTATATCGCACATATCAGAAAGGAAAGGCAAGTCTATATACTGTGTCAATATTTTAAATAATAACGAAACACCAGACTGATCCCGATTTGAAGTCAAAATAATGTTACGCATTCAGAATATTTTTTATTTCCGAGTCCAAATAAAAAAATATATAGTAGTCAAGTTGTTGAACTTTTCTTCATATAATTGAAATTAATTAATTGTCTTTACCCTGTTTACTTTGCAAGTGCCTTGATTAAAGGTAATGACTGAGTGATAAGCACGGGTGAATTTAAGCTTGTTTAATTAAATAATTACATTGCACGTCTACTAGATGGCAAAACTACCGTAATCGTTAGCTAAAGAAATTTATTTAACAATTAATAAGCTTTGCAAAACACCAACAACTACGTGTTTGTATACACTCTTATAATTATAATGACAGTCTACATCTAATCACAGATGAAATTTCAGTGTATCCCTATATATCTTATCAAGAATTATTCACTGTATGCTGAATTCGCGGAATTTCTTTTTCCGCGAATATAGCGAATATTAACTCCGCGAGTTAATTTCCTGCTGTACAGTATTCCAATGTATTCCTATAATTTACTTTGAGACCTACTGTGATCCCATCCAACCCGAAGAGTCATAATTTAAACAAATTTGAATCTACACTACCTGAGGATGCTTCCACATGAGTTTCATCTTTCCTGGCCCAGTGGTTCTTGTGAAGAAGATTTGTAAAAAAAAAAAATGCCATTAATTTTTCACTAATTCATTATTATCTCCCATTGGAAGATGGGGTGGCCTTTCATTTAAGCAAATTTGAAGGATACTTTAATTTGTGGCAAGTTTAATTGAAATTGGCTCAACGAGTCTTAAGAAGAAGATGAAAATGTGAAAAATTTACGACGACAACGACGACAGCGAAGCGACAGACAACAATCAGAAAAGCTCAGGTGAGCTAAAAATGTTTAAATACATATTACTTCCAATCAATTTGAAGGATGTCATTAATTACAGTATATAGAAATTTTTTCTCATCACAAGTATATTTAATGCAGGTTGATGACTATGTGTCCAGTGATATTTGTATTGAATTGCCCTTATTATCTATTGTTTATTTCTTAATATTCATAAATGCATTTTTTTTTGGTTGTAGAGTTGGTGGTTACCAGGGTTAAAATACTGGTCATTCATGTTAAATTTGTTAATTTTAGCTGTCTCATTAATAATAAAATATCAAAAGGCATTCAGTAAGCCATGGCTCAAAGATTCAAGTAGCTGAAATTTAAATCCCAAGTTTCGATCGGTATATAAGTATAAATACAGTAACTGAGAGGTACATGTAGATGCATGGAACACTGTAACCAGGCCACGTGATTCGAACGCAAAATTCTAAACAAATCAGCAGCCACTACTGTCTCACTTCAGGTAATGTTTAGAAAAAATGATAACTTTTATGTTTACTCAACAATTATAACGCTTTTAGATATTTTCAATTACAAAAATATAATAAAGAATAATTATTGACTTTTATTTATACAACACAATGTTTTTGAAGGGCATGTCTTGAAAAGAGTTATTTGACAATATTACAAAGAAACTTTCTGTCAGTGAATGAATTTAAGATACATCAAAAATCTCAAATTCATTCCAGGAAACGTCCAAGGAAAAGAACCTGATTTAAAGTTTGGAGCCTCATCTTTTTAGGTTCTCTAACATCAGATAAACATTGCTACAAAATGATGTCAACACAGAATTCACCAGAGGCTGGATCCTCTCCTCCAGTCAAACATCTGCTTGATGAATCAGAAACAGTCGCCATAATAGGCACTGAGTATGAAAGCTACCTTTACAATGTGGTCTGTCTCAGTGATGAAGACATCTGGACAAGGGGAGAAGAAATCACAATGAAACTCTTCAGCATAAATCAGGGATCACTACTCAAGTCAATCACAACTAAATCTGGAGAAATCCCAATAGATATAGCGGTGACAAAAAGTGGAGATCTTGTTTATACTGATTACAATGATAGAACTGTGAACATCGTGAAGAATGAGAAGGTGGTGGAGTTGATCAGACTACAGATTATGACAGATACATTACTGAGAACAAAAACCCCGAATATCTGTGTGTCTGATCGTGGAGCTAGAGCAGTAGTGGTGGTCAATAAGGCCGGGAAATTGAGATTCATGTACACTGGACATCTTCTGCTCCAAGGAACAAATCATTCTGTCCAGAAGGAATCACCACCGACAGTCAGAGCCACATCCTTGCAGCTGATGATAACAATAACTGTGTCCACATCATAGACCAGGATGGACAGTTCCTCCGTTACATCGACTGTGGACTGAGTTATCCCTGGGGACTTGTTAGTACAAATGACAATCTTTTTTTGCTAATGGAGAAACAGTCAAGTGAAAAAAAATAAAATATCTGTTTTGAAAAACATCTTTTAAACAAATCAATGATGTAATCATCATGTTGAAATATATATATGTATACTTATTTTCTCTACATAAAATGAAGTTGAAAAATTAAAATACAACAATTACTTGATAAAGAGCAACTAAGAGTAAAGTTTTAGAATTGCGTGTGCAGAAAAAATGACAAGATTGAAAATAAACAAGTTTACATAACAGAAATATCTACAACCGAATTCACTTCTCATAACTTTTTTAGGGAAGTAAACTGTCAGTTTAATACGTGTAAAAACACTTCTTATACTTTTCAGCGTGTTAAAATTACATTCTGCATGTGTCAGCTAAGTTTGGTTACATTTTTTCTCTAACTATTATATAATCTATGTTAATATTTAGTTCATTGTAATGCATTTTTTAAAATGTTAAATATAGGCTATTTACAGGCAGTACCTGTGATCTAATCCAATTAAATTTTTCTGATTAAATATTGTTTACACTACTTACCTCATTGGACTCTGCATATTACAATGCTGTGTAACTCGACATAATATTCATATTCTTTAGGACCATCAGGCATAACCATACAGACTGTAAATCAAAATATAGATATTCAATACAAATAAATACAATAGGGATTGACTATATATATTTTTTATTCATCCAGAAATGAATCTGAAATTTATGAAAGCCAAAAGTGAGCTGATGCTCTCCTGTAGGGCATTAATTAATAAAGTCTTGTGAAATATACTCCCAGTAATTGTTTAAATGAAAAGTCTTTTAATCATCTGTCAAATAAAACTTTGTATAATTGAAAACTGATTTGCCTTGCAAAGGAGCAGAGGAGCAGTACAATCGTCATTAAAAAAGGGTTTTTTGTATAGGGCAACTGTAAACTGTAAATCATCTGAACAAATGAAGTAAAGCTAGTAGCAAAATCATATCCACACTAGGATTTTCAGAACTGAAAACAGGGATTTTGATACTTCCCCCAGAAATAATTTTTCATTCCTTGTAAAACTTATAGATTTAATTTATTACAATAAAATATGTCTTTGTTGAGTGTTTTGATTTCAAATTGTATGTATTTCAATGAATATTGATTATTTTCATTTTCCCAATTGATAAAAATGGGTAGACATACAATTTAATGTTTTTGGTGTTCAAAGATAATTGCGCTTTGTAATGGGATTTTGTCTCACCTTTGTACATTGACTTAAATCTGAACATTACACGTAAAAGATTTGTCCGCCATATTTGGTTGGTCTCTCGCTTTATCTGAGGACCCCTATATAAAGTTGCTGACATAGTCACTGTTCAGTGTAATTGATCGTCAATCGTGTAGACGGCGGTTGTATATAATACTCGGTAGTGAAAAAAAAGGGGCCCAGGGGCCACATCGCTCACCTGACTAACTGGCTATGTATAAGCAAAAATAAGTATTGAAAAGTTTAAATATACTAATAAAAGGGGTTTACGGATGGAAGGGGTATTTGAACAAAGTTAAGTCTATACTTCCTGCGGATGCTTTTAAATTAACATGTTACATAATGGCTTTGCTGTTTTTAAGATGTTTTTTTTTTATTGATATTGCCTTTATATTCCTTACTTATAGGAATTTTGCGTAATCAATTAATAATCAATTACAGAGTTTTGTTCCGTAATCGATTACTTTAGACAATGTAACCGATTAATAATCGTCTTTACTTTAAATTTTTCCCCCCCCCCCCCCCTCAAATATCAGAGCTATATTACGCAGTTTGGATTTTAACCTCCATATTTAATAACTTTTGATTGTTCAAAAATTATCTAATATTTTACTGTGATTTACAAGAATTTGAACATTCTGCATGCTGGCAGTACGCATATACACGATCCGTGCTTAAATTATTTCAAAAAAAAATTAGACTTTAGCAATGATCATGTAGACTCAATGTACCTTTAAGTATAATAGCACAATTTCTTGTGTTGAAACAATTGTTTTGAGAGCTATCAATTGTTCTATAAGATTGTTTGTATACAGTGGAGTTATTAATTATCTAATACAATGAAGTTCACAGTTCACACCTCATTATCTACTGTCAGGGATATTCCAGCCAATTAGCCAAGATAATCGTATTTCACATACATGTATGTATTCCTTGTGACAAGACCTTTTTCTGGGGAACCAAATTTACCTTTTAACCTTGACCTTGGAGTTTTACCAACTTTTACACAAAAATTCAAAATTTTTACTGATGAAAAAACTTTAACCTTGGTACTAACTTCTGAACAGTAAGGGCTAGAGCTTTCATACTTCACAAATGTAATCCTTGTGAGAAGACCTTTCACTGGATATCAACAACTTTGACCTTGGAATTTGACCTACTTTAAAAAAAAATCCTTGACCAGATCTTTTAAACAGTTAAGCTAGTGCTTTCATACTTTATTTTTTTAATAATTGTGACAAGACCTTTCATTTGATTTCAAGACTTTTGACTTTGACCTTGGAGTTTATTACTTTTAATTTTTTTAAACTTGGCCATAACTTTTGAACGGGAGGGCTAGAGTTTCCATACTTCACATATGTATTTTTTGTTGCAAGAAAATTTATTGGATACCAATAACCTTGACTTTTTGACCTTGACCTTAGAATTTTAACTTATGAAAAAAACACATTAACCCTGGCAATAATTTTTTAACGGTTAGGGCTAGGATTTCCATACTTAACATATGTATTCTTTGTAGCAAGTCCTTTTATTGTATACTCAAAACCATGACCTTTTGACCTTGACATGAGATTTGAACTCATGAAAAAAAATTAACTTTGGAAAAAACTTATAGAGAGTAAGGGCTAGGGCTTTCATACTTCACGTATAAAATCTTGTGACAAGACCTTTTATTCAATACCAATAACCTTGACCTTCTGACCTTGATCTTGGAGTTTAACCTACTTTTAAAATCTTTTTAACCTTGATCATAACTTTTTATTCCTATGTTAAACTTTATCCCCCACTGTGCCGCTACCCACAGGGGGCACCATTTTAACAAACTTGAATCTACACTATCTGAGGTGTTTCATTTATTTATGACCAATCCTGACTTTGCTGTTTTTTCAAAGATTTTTCCTATGTATTTTTAATTAAACTTGATACCCAATTGTGGCCCCACCCTACCCAATAGGGGATATTGAACAAACTTAATTATACTTCCAAGGGATGCTTTCATATACTAGTAACTATTGCCAATAATGGCTTTTGTCCTTGCAAAGAAGATTTTTTAAAAACTTTTCCTATGTATTCATATGTTAAACTTTAATACCCCCCGTGGCCCCATCAAGGGGTCATGATTTGAACAAATGTGAATCTACACTACCTGAGGATGCCCCCATGACTCATCCTTCTTGACCCAGTGGTTTTAGAAGATTTTTAAGATATGCCATTTAATTTTTCACTAATTCAAAATTATCTCCCCTTTTAAAGAGGACGTGACCCTTCATTTGAATAAACTTGAACCCCCTTCACCTAAGGATACTTTGTGCCAAATGTGGTTGAAATTGGCCCCATGATTCTTGAGAAGAAGTCGAAAATGTGAAAAGTTAATGATGACTATGATAAGGATATGGAAATAACGGACGACGCGGCAATGACCGACGACAAACAAATTTTGATCAAAAAACTCACTTGAGCCTTAGGCTCAGGTGCGCTGAAAAACTCTCTAGACGAATCTTATCTATAAGTAAGGCTATCTCACATCATATTTTAGTGTGCATCCCATGATCAATATCCATGCAAGTTTCTTTTGAGTTACTGACAATGGAAAGGGACCTGCTCTAAAAACTTTGACGCATGGAACAAAGGTAGTGCGTCTCTACAGCCTGGGAGTAATGGGCTTATCTTTACATCACAGGTTCGAATACCATAAGAAAAAGGAAAACCAGTCCTTTCCCATGAAACTATAAACTTCGCAAACTAAAAATTACAATTTAATTTAAACTATGGTATATATACTCAATTGCTCTTTTTCTATTCAGTATTTCATGAAAATGATTTTTAAAAATGTGTAATTACAGTATAATAAATAGAAATCATATCATTTATTAAAAAATATTTTTAAATAATGTGCAATGCTTACAGTGTATATAGTAAAAATATTTCATTTTTCAATTTTAGAATTACCAGGATTTTTTTTACTAATAAACATAGCATAATCTGGGGTTGAAAATTTAAAATCCCATCTATGTTAAACATTTTTGGTATCCTTATTTAGATGTCGTTTTGTGAGATGTTGGGACATAACACACCGAGAGTTGGGAATCAGAATGGGGATAAATGATACAAACTTTGTATCTGCATTACAGTTCTTTGAGGTATGCTTTTTAATTTTAATAGGGATAAAATTTTTCAATTGTGAAGCAATTTGGTAATTTTTAGTTTTTCAAATTTAAGACCTCCATGCCTTTTGATGCTTTTTAATCTGTTTTATTTTAAACAAATCAAACTTTTTGTGTACATTTTAAAAAATGAATTCACCACAGGGGAAAATTTTAACAATGTCATCATCAACAAATTTTACAATTCCAACAAATTTTTCATTATATGTACAGTGGTATGTCTGAGACACAACATTAAGATTCTTAAAAGACTGAAATAATTTATTGATCATTAACATTTTTTATCTGATATAAAAATGAATGTAATAAAACAGGTAATGTGAATGGGTAAGAGTTACTTCCTCTTAAATGCATTCCTCTACATTTCAAAAACTTAACACATAAAAACATGACATATTATACTGAATACTTGCCCATCATTATAAGAAAATATTAGGGTGCAAAGATACCCTTAAAGGGTACTAATAAGGGGAATGAATACTAAAATCGGTACTCGGGTTTCTGGATGTATATTTTTGAA